GCCAAAAGACTTACATTTAACCTCTAAATAATGATCAGCTTGGGGTTTTCTTTTTTTTTTTAAATAGTTTATTTATTAAAACACCAATCTATCTAATTGCCTTGTCAATGGACAATGGCATTAATTCCCCGATTAAGAGACGTTCCCATGGATTAATTTTCCCCTTCACGCTAATGTCAGCAACAGGATTATTCGCGGTGTGGGATTAGGTTCCGTTTTCACGCTTCAACTCGCCAAACTCAAATCGTTTTTACAATTTTTCCGTGGTATGTTCCGTGGACATGTTACGATGTTACAATCGCCCCCGTTGTCGTCTCTCAGACATAAATTCTTCACAATTCACTTTGTTGTTTTTCTAATTTTATGAAATGTTTCATGAAAATTATATATCTTGTTGGAATACATGATTTTATTTAAATAAATATATTTTGAATTGATGAGTCTGCAGAATTCATAGCAAAAAAACCAAACAAACAAACACTTTTTTTGTTCTCTGTTCACTCGTAGGTTTTTGTTTTTTTAATAACACATTCACAAACAAAAAAATTGACATTCGACAACAAATATATCATGGCATAAAATGTATTTTTTTTTTCTGCTGGCTTTTAATTTTTTTTTCTTTCAAAATCTCTTTATTTTAAATAAGAAAAAAATCTAAAATGAATCTAATCTAAATATTTTGCATGTTTGCATGTTTTTAGTGTTTGACCAAAGAATGAAGAAAGAGAATAGAAAAATGAATCACTTCTGTTGGAAATCTTCATTTGCTATTCGACTTTAATCGTAGATAGGTGAAAGGACGGATCTTTTAAAAAAACATCTTCAGATATACTGCAAACTTCATAAAAAATGTTCCTTTCTGCCGAATCTTTTTTTTTTTTTTTATTTAATTTAACCTGAAGAAATTGATAGGAAAGGTTTCGCCCGTGGGTCGTTGTTTTATAGATTTACCTGGAATATGGATTGATTAGATTATCTCCTTTACTCCTAATAGACTGGGCTCATTCTGATTTGGTATGAATGCAGCCACTCCACTCGTAGACATCTCCTACAATTCATAGTCCTAGTCCTAACACACAGAGCCCTCAAAAACTACCTCTGTATATCTCCTCTATAGTGTCCAGGTATAGGGCCGGTCAGAACATCCTCCTACGGTCACCACTTTTCACTCACAGCTCCAAAATTCCTCTTGTACTGCTCTCTTTTTCCACGTCATCAGACATTCACCAACCTCAGGTATCCACCAACCTCAGGTATCCACCAACCTCAGATATCCACCAACCTCAAGTATCCACCAACCTCAGATATCCACCAATCTCAGGTATCCACCAACCTCAGATAATCACCAACCTCAGATATCCACCAACCTTAGTCATTCATCAACCTCAGATATCCACCAACCTCAGGTATCCACCAACCTCAGATATCCACCAACCTTAGTCATTTATCAACCTCAGATATCCACCAACCTCAGATATCCACCAACCTCAGTCATTCACCAATCTCAATCATTCACCAATCTCATATATCTACCAACCTCAGATATTCTTCAACCTCAAACATTCACCAATCTCATATATCTACCAACCTCAGATATTCTTCAACCTCAAACATTCACCAGCCTCAGACATTCACCAATCTCAGATATCCCCCAATCTCAGATATCCACCAATCTCAACCTTAGTCATTCATCAACCTCAGGTATCCACCAACCTCAAACATTCACCAACCTCAGACATTCACCAATCTCAGATATCCGCCAACCTTAGTCATTCACCAACCTCAGATTTCCACCAATCTCAGATATCCACCAACCTCAGACATTCACCAACCTCAAACATTCACCAAACTCAGACATTCACCAACCTTGTAGTACCAGTATGTACAGGAGAGGAGTGTGGGGGGTATGACGGGGGGCAGTATATACAGGAGAGGAGTGTGGAGGATATGACGGGGGGCAATATATACAGGAGAGGAGTGTGGAGGGGATGATAGGGGGCAGTATGTACAGGAAACAAGTGCAATAGGTATGACAGTGGGCAATATGTGCAAGAGATGTGTGCCAAGGATATTACAGAAGAAAGTATCCAGGAGAGGAGTGTGGAGGATATGACGGGGGGCAATATATACAGGAGAGGAGTGTGGAGGGGATGATAGGGGGCAGTATGTACAGGAAACAAGTGCAATAGGTATGACAGTGGGCAATATGTGCAAGAGATGTGTGCCAAGGATATTACAGAAGAAAGTATCCAGGAGAGGAGTGTGGAGGATATGACGGGGGGCAATATATACAGGAGAGGAGTGTGGAGGGGATGATAGGGGGCAGTATGTACAGGAAACAAGTGCAATAGGTATGACAGTGGGCAATATGTGCAAGAGATGTGTGCCAAGGATATTACAGAAGAAAGTATCCAGGAGAGGAGTGTGGAGGATATGACGGGGGGCAATATATACAGGAGAGGAGTGTGGAGGGGATGATAGGGGGCAGTATGTACAGGAAACAAGTGCAATAGGTATGACAGTGGGCAATATGTGCAAGAGATGTGTGCCAAGGATATTACAGAAGAAAGTATCCAGGAGAGGAGTGTGGAGGATATGACGGGGGGCAATATATACAGGAGAGGAGTGTGGAGGGGATGATAGGGGGCAGTATGTACAGGAAACAAGTGCAATAGGTATGACAGTGGGCAATATGTGCAAGAGATGTGTGCCAAGGATATTACAGAAGAAAGTATCCAGGAGAGGAGTGTGGAGGATATGACGGGGGGCAATATATACAGGAGAGGAGTGTGGAGGGGATGATAGGGGGCAGTATGTACAGGAAACAAGTGCAATAGGTATGACAGTGGGCAATATGTGCAAGAGATGTGTGCCAAGGATATTACAGAAGAAAGTATCCAGGAGAGGAGTGTGGAGGATATGACGGGGGGCAATATATACAGGAGAGGAGTG